ATGAAATGTTAATGTTAAAACATTGCTGCTCAGTGTTTACAGGAGATTTTCAGAGTCATAAGTTATATATTAATGTATACCAAAACCAACTCATACAAGACCAAAAATGTGAGGGCACAGTACATGATAGTAGGTGTTGATGGTTAATTTGCTTCTAACAGCCTGCTTCCTTTCCCCTATCTCCAAACAAAAGCAACCATTTCATAATTATTATTTTATATGCCTAGGGTAAATTTTCAACAAAGCTACTAATTTTCTTAACGATCTCAAGAGAAACTGAATTAGTTTTTTGTTTTTTTACTTAGAAAAACCTCAGCCATTGCCTATTTCTCCTCCCTATCAGTAAATTGACTTTTAAGTGCACCACCATATAAGAAAATATTAGAAGTAAAAACAACAATAACAAAGAATGCAGTCTTGCCCAGACTGCGTGGCTCAGCAGTTGAGCGTGGACCTATGATCCAGGTGGATTGTGGTTCAATTATCAATCAAGGCACGTGCCGGGTTGCGGGCTCCATCCCCAGTAAGGGGCGTGCAGGAGGCAGCCAATTGATGATTCTCTCTTATCACTGATGTTTCTCTCTCTCTCTCCTTTCCTCTCTCTGAAATCAATAAAACATATTTAAAAAAAAAAGAATGCAGTCTTAAGTGAAGACCTCTCTGAACCTGTGAACTCAGACCCCATGTAACTTGGCACAACATGATTCTTTTTCCCCCCCAATTGATTTATAGAGAGAGGGGAAGGGAGAAGGAGAGATAGAAACATCAATGAGAGAGGAACACCACCGGGGATCGAGTCCACAACCCAGGCATGTGCCCTGACTAGGAATCAAACTGTGACCTCTTGGTTCTAAGGTCCATGCTCAACCACTGAGCCACACCAGCTGGGCAACATGATTATTTCTTAATTCAGGTCTAACAATTTAATACCCCAGCTTGAAACTAGGTGGCACTTTAGATCTCAGATTCTTAAATAAGCCTCAATAAAGTCATCATGTAGCTCTCAGTTCAAGTAATGTGTTTGGTTTAATGACAGTATGATCCTGGAAAACTTAATTGTGTAGGCCTTTAGAATTCACAAAAAATTACATGAGCCTTCCTTGTCCTTTCTCCCTGATGTATGAAAGTTAGCCTTAAAGCATTACTCTTAATTGAATAATTTCAGCAAAATATTTCACTATTTTCACAAGATGAAATGTTAAAACAGATGAGCCTGGCTTGTGTGGCTCAGTGGATTGAGCGTCGTCCCATGCACCAAGAGGGAGGTCATGGGTTCGATTCCCAGTTAGGGCACATGCTCATATTTCCCGCTCTATCCCCAGTGGGGGGGCATGCAAGAGGCAGCCAATTGATGTTTCTCTCTCATTGATGTTTCTGTCTCTCTCCCTCTCCCTTCCCCTCTCTCTAAAAAATCAATAAAAACATATTTTAAAAAAACAGATGAGACTCCTGTATGGTATTTAAAGAATGGACAAAGGGGCTCCCACTGTGCGAAGATGGAACAATTTAAACATCAACAAGGATAGTAACTGATGACAACAAGTTGGAATACACCAAGTATTTCTAAATCCACGAGTTCTTAAAAACTAAAGTCAATGATAACCCCTAGAAGTTGCCCAGAACACCAACTCATTACTCCTAATACTGGTAAATAACAGGAAAGAATCAAATTATCTTGCCTTTCCTGTGTAAACGGAATTTCAAGCTAACTAAACAGCTGATGAGGGAAATTCCTCTTTATAGAAGAACATCAGATAATAAATACAACAGGAAAGGCGGAATTCACATATCACCATTTTCTACTACCACCTCCCCCCTTCCCTATGAAATAATTAAGCTAAACAAAATTGTGAGGAAAAAGGCTGATAAAAAATTTTATAACGGATCAGGCTTATAATACCTTAAATTATTGATTAGGTGTTTTTTCAACTTTTTATCTTGAAGTTTTATATCTATAGAAATGTTGTAAAACTTAAACAATGAATACCTGATACCTTTCATCTAGAGTCACAATTTTAACATTTTGTCACATGTGCTGCTTCTGTGTCTAGTATGTGAATGCACGCATATATATACACATTATTATTTTTGCAGAACCACTCGAGAGTAAGTTATAGGACATCATGACCCTTCAATCCCTAAATATTTAAGAGTGTATATCCTAAGGACAAGGACATCCTTTTACACAAACACAATACAACTATTGATCAATCATAGCATCACACTAAAAGGACACCCAGACATTATATGCTTCCTAACATGATGCATAGGAAGTGCACAACGCTGTCTGAAGTATTCTTGCCAAAAACTGAGCCTGAATATATTCAGGTCTCTAGGTGAGGGGCTGCCTGTTTTTGTGAGTAAAATATGATTGGCACCCGGCCACGCTCATTTTATATATGTCTATGCCTACAGAGCTTAGTGGTGGTGATAGAGACCATATCGCCCACAAAGCTTAAAATATTTACTTACCATCTGGCCCTTTACAGAAAAAATGTGCTGACCGCTGCCCTAGATATAACCATGAGTTTTCAAGGAAACAAAGATTAAGGAACATGTTAAATGATACCACAGGAATGTAATTAGCCAATCTGGACTGGAAGAAGCTCTACAGAACTTGGTTTCTGCAATAAATGTAGGAAAACAAAAAGAAGGGGATTGTTTAGAAGAAATTTAAGGAGAGAAATCAAGCAAATACAATTTGTGGACCTTGTTTGGAGCCTATAAAAAAGATATAAATGAGACAGTTGGGAAAATCTGAATAGTGAGTAGGTAGGATGTTAAGGAATTATTGTGTTTTTTAATGTGAAAATGCTATTTGGGTTATATTTATTAAGAAAAAGGCTTGATCCCTAATATTGATGTATTTTAAGAAGAAATTATATGTCTAGGACTTGCTTGAAAATCATCCATTAGTGGGTAGGGATGGGGTAGAGTAGAAAGAAGGTTGGCTACCAGTTGATAATTACTGAACCTGAGTGATGGGTACATGGTATTCTGTTCTACTTCTGTGTGTTTGAAATGTCTACAATAAGTTAATAAAAGGACCCAAACAAGACTGAAAAAAGTTGCAGAGTTAAAGTTCCTACAATAAAATTTTCTATAATAGAATGTCTTTAAAAATTCTATAATAAACAATGAGCTAGCCCTTTCCTTTACACTTATAGGAAAAGAAAAAAAAATCCCCATGAAAATAAACAAGTGTAACAAAAAGCAGCACCTTGTTTCTAATGCGATCTCTCTTAACCACTTCCTCTTTCTTTTCAGTTTTCTCTGAGCTGCCTAGTGATTCTGTACTTTCAGTCTTCTTTCCTTTATCCCGAAGTGCTTCTTTCTCTTTTTTAATTTCTTCTTCCTTCCTTTTATAAGCCTTCTCTTTCTCATAGCGCTCCCTCTGCCTCCGGCGCTCTTCTTCTTGACGCTTCAGTCTCTCTCTTTCCCGGAGTATGCGCTCTTGATCTCGTTCATAATCCCGCTCCCTCTCCCGGTAGTCTCTGCCACTCTCATCTTCAGGTCTGCATGAAAAACAAATCTGAGAATGTACCCTCAAAGATCTTCTCATTGCAAATGCAGGAACACTCTGATTCTGACTTGGCCACGGCAATGAGGCTGCACTTTTGGAACAGAGTGAAAAAATACTAGTGGTGCCCTAGCCTGTTTGCTCAGTGGTTAGAGCATCGGCCTCTGGGCTTAAGGGTCTCAGGTTTGATTCTGGTCAAGGGCACATACCTCGGTTGTAGGCTGGATGCCTGGCCCCAGTAGGGAGGCAACCAATGGATGTGTCTCTTTCACATTAATGTTTCTCTCTCTCTCTCTGTCTCTGTCTCTGTCTCTGTCTCTCTCTCTAACCCTTCCACTCCCTCTGAAAAACAATGAAAAATCCTCTGGTGAGGATTAAAAAAAAAACAAACTAATTTTTTGAAAAACAGTAACAAAACAAAACAAAAGTCATCCACCTAGATTAAGATATTAGAATATTTGAAACCTTTCCTACTCATCCCCCTGCCCCTGGTCAAACAGCTTATTTAATTCAGGTATAAGTCCAGGAAATAGCAGTAAAACTGGCATCTAGAAATACATTGAAAACAAGTGTACCAAGAGCCCTTGCCTACTGACCTCTTAGGCTTTTCATCTTTAAGAAGTTCACCATCACGTTTGGGTAATGTACAACTTTGCCCACTGGCTCTTTCATCATTCAGATTCTCTTTGTCCAATTTCTTGGCTTTTTCTCTTTTGTCCAATTCTTTTTCATCTCCTTTTTCTGGTTTCTTGAGCAGCTTTAAAGAAAACAAATTTATTTTTATTTTGAAGGATGGGACACTGTCTTCTAAGCCTATCAAAGAAAACAATATACTAAATATTTAAAATTCTGACTACAGAAGGCCCCCTTTTCTGCAGGTACGCAAACTTTCGCATGAACAACTAGTGCACAAGAGCAGTAATTTACTAAAAGGTAAATTGCTATTAATGTGAAAGTGTTATCCACTCAAATGAAGTGGTTTAATCACTTGTGGCAATAGGATCAAGACTCCTTTGGCTTTAAATGGGTCAACCTTTAAGTGAACCAATGCACACTTCCAAGTATGCCTTTTGTAGCAAACCAGCATGTCAATACAACTTGATGGGAAAATATACCACAAATTTAAAATGCGAGGTAGATCATTACTATTGGAGTGTTTCTATGTAGTACTTGGAATGACAAATACCTTGGTCACCAAAGGAGTGATCTATTGTGAGAATAATTTTGCCTTGAGCCTGAGAGTAACATACATATATGATGGTACAATCATATTATCATTAGAGATGAATAGTAAAATCATTTGGCATTGGGTTTAAAAATCCAAATACCTCATACAACAGAACAATGAAGTTCCATCTCTACTGAGTAGGAACTCTGCACAATGTCATGTACATGACAGAATGCAATTCTAAAAAGTGGTTTATAAAGTCCAAATTTCTAACAAGTTTCTTTTTCATACCACTGCTACAAATCTCTCTAGAATACCCTCAAGTGTTGGACATTCAGAGAGATTCTGAGGCAAAATAGAAGAATTCCAGTCTCAGGGTAAAGGCATCATACAGGTCACCAAGCAAAGGCCAAGCACCAAAAGATTTAAGCGAAGTATTTCAGCGCACGGACAGCCACTACAAATGGTGAGTCCAAACTGGACACTAAGAAGGTACCCATGTAAAGTGAGGATGCCATGTACAGGTTTCATTGGAAGTGTTCTTATTTCTCAGATGAACATCTCTGTTAGAAGCCAAGATGTTCATTACTCTACTAAGAACATTAATGGATGTCTCCAGCATGGATGGCTCTACCTTCTGCCTTGCTGATAGTTAGGAATAGCAAGTCAAGTCACTTGTGCCATGGCAGACATTGCTGGAAAGAATTAAGACAGGAACTTTCCCACCCTGTGGCCAGGCCCCTTATCAACAATAATGAGCCCTGGAGAGCCTAGGGGAACCACACAAACTACTGAATTTTGAGGAGGTAAAAGGAGACCCTGCTACTATCTCTGAGATTTTCTCTTACTTTCTCTGAAGTACTAGTACTTCCCCAAGAAGTTTGTTGGAGCAAGGGCTGCCCAAGCCATGCCCTCAGAAGGGAAGCAGAAAGGCCGGGGATCTTTCTATAGATTTTCCTTTTCCTATATGCTATGTGTTCAGCAGAATCTGCTGCTCACAGACTCCCAGGGAGATGCAAGAAGGTAATGTGGGAATCATGTGAGAGGGGAAAGCTCGTAGTGGACGATATTATCTCTAGTACTTGCACAAGACAGTTATGAAAAGCAGCTAAAAAAGAGAAAGAGCTATTTAGGCAGGGTAGTCCTTTGGCTGTATATTGTTGAAGCTTCTGGGGACACAGCAGAGCATCAGGAAGTCATCTGGGCTTCCTTTTAAAGTAGGAATTTAAAATAGCTTGCTTTTAAGAAGACTGGTCAGTCTGAAGGGGTTTTCTACAGGTATCACTACCACCACCACCAAAAGGATTTATTAACTAAGACCTGTGTGTGTGACATGATACTAGGTGTTCGGTATCATGTACTTAGTCCTTACATTTTTCTGATTCACAGCTTGTAACAGAAACCTGTGTACCTGAAGACAGTGGAAAACAAACAGATGAGGCGACTTCATGTATCAAATATGAAGGAAAAGCTGAATAAAAACCGTAATTCATGCCAGCCAGCCCTATTTTATGAAGAATTGACAGAATAATCATCCAAAAATTGAACATTGTCAATGATAAAAATAACACAGATTTGCACTGAATAAATATCATGTAAACTACTTAGTTCTTTTAAATTATCTTAAAATTTTAAAATCATACTATTAGTATTATAGAAAGATTTCAACTGGTTCACTTGCCCCCCCCAACCAAAAAGGACAAAAACAAAACTGAAAAACTATATTTACACCACACAATTTGCATGCATGTTTATAAAGAAGTAGATACATGCAATTTTCAGCAACATGCAGCCAGTTTTAGTTATTTTCATACCTTAATCTTTGGTTCTTCCTTTAACTTGTCCCTTTCTGGAACTCTTTCTATCTTCTTTAGCTTTTCTATATCTTTCCTTTTTCGTTTCTCCTCTTCTTTCCATTTTCTCCTCTCTTCTTCTCTTTGTCTTTTTCTTTCTATTTCTCGCCGCCTTCTTTCTTCTCTTTTTTCTTCTCTCATCCTCTAGAGAGAAACATCAACATACACCTTCAAACACTAAAGTCATCACCAAAAACTTCAACCAATCCCAAAGGCATGGTGGGCACCCACTAAACGGGATCATCTTTCCTTCCAACTTTCTAGTTCCTTAATCCCCTCCCCACCCCACTCAGAATATGAGCGAATGAAGACCAGGGCTTGCTAGTATCAGAGTCTCCCACTGCTGCCTTGCTCTGTTTCCAGAGACTTTCAGAAAAATCAAGAGGACTCTCTGGGTTTGCAGAATGATTCCTTGTCCCAACAACCAGAGAAAAGGAGAGGGCCAACAAGCCAAATCTTTAGAGAATAATGGTACCTGAAACCTATATGTTCATATTAACCATTGTCACCCCAATAAATTTAACAAAGTATTTAAAAAAAAGAATAATGGTAAGAAGAAGCAGCTGTTTCTCCTATGGGATCCCAATGCTCTTAAAACGTTTAACAGAATGTGAACCAATGAAATAAAAGTATTGAGAAAACTATAAAAACAAAGGTTTACCTGCTTGTTTTTCAGGAAGCTCAATAGTGGGGTTGTCTTTTTAGCTACATAAATGTAAACAGATTATTAATAATACTTATCAACCCCTAGAAAGGATTCCATTTTCTGACATTCCCTGCCAACCGCCCAAGGTCGGAAGAACTACGCCCCTTAAACAGAGCTCATAACTGTATTATCGGAAAGAAGTCTTTACAGTATTCCAATTCTGCGCATTTAAAATACCTTTTAAAAATTGAAGAAATACAAAATAAAACAATAAACTTTTTAAAAAGTGTCATTTCTACTGTCAGTGAGAATTAAGTGCAAAGGACATTCTCTGGTTCTACAGACAGGAGCACAAATTTGTCCAACTGGGAAGAAACAGGGAAGGGGCTAACAGTGTCCTTTTGACCCCATCATTTCACTTCTGGGAATTTATTCTAAGGAAATTGTCAGAGATGGGCTTATGCTATGCATCCGTTAACAAAAAACAACTTTTAGAAGAATATTTAATTCATTTTTCAGTATTCTGAACAATGCTATCTAGCCACGTAGCTAGCTTTTGAAAATATACTTCCTTTGGATAAATTCCTTGGAGTGGACATCCTGAGTCAGAGGCTACGCTTATGTTTAGAGCTGATACAGCAGTGACAGCTTACTACTAGAACCAATAGCCAAGCTAGAATTTCTCAAGAGGTTTTCAGTTTTGCAGTAACTAAATCCATTTTTTGATATTTCAGGTCAAATTTTTTTTTAGGAATATTAGCTTCTTATTACTAGAAAACATCAACTGATCTTCAAATGCTTACCAACATCTAAAGGTGCCATGAGCCTTCAAACGTTTTATACTTATTTCTGTGGCACTAAATAGGTCATAGAGAATTTTCCCCATCTAATCAATGCATTCTCATAATCCTCTGACACAGGTATTATCATCTGCTTACTATAGTAGAAGAATCAGAGTCTCAGAGAAGTTAGTGCTTTCCCCATGATCACACAGCTATCAAGTGACAGAAGTGGGAGTCAGACAGGTCTTCTGATGAAAAAGCTGTTGCCCTTAATTCCTTTTGTCAACTTACCTATTAGTTCTCTATTTTTAGCTTCTATTTCCTCTAGCAGAGTCTCTGGAGTAGATGTCATTTTCTCATTATCAGCAGCATAACTTTCCAAAAATTTTCTATATTCTGGATCTGAATAATTGTTTAAGTAAACAGAAAATGTAGTAGAGTTTAAACAAACAGGAAATCATTATCTAGGATATTTATCAAAGGTAATTTCCTACTTTATGGAAGATAAAAAATAAACCTATACCCACAAGATAGACTTTAGGGCTTTATTTGTTACTCTCAGAACTCCTATTAGAGATACCCACAAAGGGAGTCTGGTGTAACATGGGGTCAGGGAAAATGAGATAGCACACATTATAACAGAACCTCTAGGGATGATAGTTTGCTTTTGAAAGTCACTGCTCCTACTAATCCAGAGTCACATTTGTGAGAGAACTGTTGTGTATATAGTTACGTATATAGTAAGAGTATATGTTTATTACATATACAGAGTGTAAGCAATTCCTGTATGGGTATACCTCACTTTAAGTAAACTCAACATATGAAAATGAGATGATCCAAAAAGATACATCAGGGGGATGTCCTAGATGGGGCACTGGAGGTGATGGTAATTCCAGGAGTTCTTTCCTAGATGCCTCTGACATCAGACTGGGAAACACATCTGAGTCATTATACTCCTTGTATTTGGAGTTTCTATGCAGTGTGGAACATGTCCCTTGATCTAGTCTTCCAGGTCTGAATCTATGATATAATCAATAAGCAGTTGCATGTTGACTCTTTTCTGTGTTCTTTATAAAATACCCACTATAGTAATAAATAATGGAAATCAAACTGGATGATTCTAAAATATCAATCTGATAGAAAATATTGCAGCTGAGCCCTTATCCAACATAAGTTATAGAGATTTCAAAATCTGGATCCAGTTTACCTTAAGTGGCAATTATTCCAGTTTTTTACTTCCTGTCTTTTGGTTCAATGTAATTACTATGTGTATGGTTAACTTCACATTTCAAAGCCTAGAAAATAGGACTGGCCACTTCAGTTACTTGATATTAAGTTACTTGAATACATAATTTTTCCAATATAGCTCTCAATGATAAGTCTCTCTCTTTATAAAAATGGAAACCCAAAAGTTAAATAAATAATCATAACAATGGTAAAAAGCCTCAAGTAGTTTTATACTCAGGAGTCAACAATGTATTGCTTAATGGAGGAGGAATGAAATGCCACTAGCCAAAGAGTTAAAACTCTATAGGAAACCTACCTCCATTTTAACAGTTAAGCAAAGCTTCCATCAGTGAATTATATTTTGTATGAACTTTATCCCATATGTTCTCTTATTTAAAAGCTTAGAGTCCAATTAATTCTCACAAAGGTAATGTTTTTAAAAAACCCATGGCAATAGCATTACATAACTAGAGCTATACTGTACCATCATCGATAGTCCCAACTTTGGTATCCCTTTTCTTAGTTTTCTTTTTTGCAGCTTTTTGAAAAGGAGCAAATTCTACTATTGCAGGATATTCCTGACCTGTTTTGAAAAAAATATCACACTTGTTATAACAAAGAAAATGTCAAGTGGATACAAGAGAGTCAACCCACTGCTCTCTAGGCATTGTTTTTTCTTTTTGGCTTTGTCTGTATTTTTTTTTTTAATTAAAAAATTCTAATGTTGACATTATTGCAGGTGCTCCCCCTTTCCCCCCCTTTGCCTAGGCTTCCTTTGATGGCAGTCATCTGAGAAGTGTCTTAAAACAGGCATCAATCACACTGCCACAACTAAAATCAACATGCTATCAAAGGAGCCCCTAATGGAAAAAATGAAATGAATAAAACATTCATTTAAATTTCACTTTTAAAGTGTGATGTTTTGATATGTGGCAAGTAATAAGCTAACTTTTATTTAAAAAAAAATCAGAAATCTCTAGAATAAGCAAATCTATAGAGAAAAATAAGATTAGTGATTGTCTAGAGCTGGGGGAGTGATGGGGAGAACAGGGAGTGGGAGATAATGGGTATGGGGTTTCTCTTTAGAGTGATGAACATGTCTTAAAATTAGATTGCGGTGATAGCTGCACAACTTTGTGAATACACTAAAAACATTTTTAAAATAAACTTTAATTTTTTTATTGAGAGAGAGAGAAACATTGATTGGTTGTTCCACTCATTTATGCATTCATTGGTTGATTCTTGTGTGTGCCCTGACAAGGGACCGAACCCGCAACCTTGGCATATCGGGTTGATGCTCTAACCAACTGAGATACCCGGCACTAAAAAACATTTTTAAAGGGTGAATTTTGTGGTATGTGAATTATATCGCATAAAGCTGTTATTTAAAAAATATACCAGGGCATCAAAAGCAAGGCAACAAAAGTAAAAATCAATAAATTGGACATCAAAATTAAAAACTTCTGTGCATTTAATAACACAATCAACATAGTGGAAAAGCAACCTATAAAATAGGAGAAAATATTTGCAAATCATACATCTGATAAGGAATCAATATACAGAACATATAAAGAACTCCTACAACTCGACAACAAAAACCCCACAACCCAATTTTTAAAAGTTCAAAGGACTTGAATACACTTATTCAAAGGTGATATAAAAAAGGCCAAAAAGCATATGAAAAGATGCTCATATGCTCAAGCATATGAAAATGTTAAAATATTATCTCACTAATCATTAGGGAAATGCAAACCACAGTGAGCTATCACCTCACACCAGTTAGAATGGTTACTATTAAAGGGAAAAAAAACACAGAAAATAGCCCGGCTCGCGTGGCTCAGAGGTTGAGCATCAACCTATGATCCATGAGATTGTGGTTTGATTCCCGGTCAGGGCACATGCCCAGGTTGCAGGCTCGATCCCCAGTAGGGGGTGTGCAGGAGGCAGTGGATCAATGACTCATCATTGATGTTTCTCTCTCTCTCTCTCTCTCTCTCTCCCTCTCTCTGAAATCAATAAAGATACATTTTTTTAAAAACCACAGAAAATAGTAAGTGTTGGTGAGGACATGGAAAAATTAGAACGCTTGTGCTTT